CTAGCGCCTGGAATGTCTTCTGTTTTGATACCCATCTTCTAGACTCTTGCCAACCCTAAATTTAGTTCCCAATGTTTCTTAATGTCCATAATCTGTGTGGCTATGAAACAGAAGGTATGCTGAATTTTCTTACATGATTTGCTCTCTCACCTATTTGGATGATGATTAGTTACATGATTATATTTATTCCATTTCAAATGATATAAAAGAGTACAATGATACCGTTTAGTGACATCAGATGTTAGATGTTAACTTCTGGAGGATTATTGTTTCAATTAGCTACTCTCATAATGTTCTTTTCTGTGATCTTGCCAAGACATGAGCTCTTGTTTCTTTTTTTTTTTAAATTTCAGACTCTTATTGCAAATATTCTGAAAAGTCAGAAATATTACATGAGCTTTGAAAAGAAACCAAGGCATTTAGCAAATTTTAGCCTAGATAAAGAACACAGATACTTAAAAAAAAAAATACAATTTACCCTTTGCAGCAATTTAAAGGTCCAACCCTTTGAAAGGAAGCACATTAGCAAACAGCTGCTTATTAAGCCCTAGTGACATTAATTGTATGCATTTCCATAATACCGGTCTAATTCATTTTCTAATTCTGGTAGGAGGCAATGCTTTCTTTCAAAAGATTCTCCTTCCATGGAATGATAAAATGCTGAGGCTTTTCTTTTTTTTTGTACAGAGCCTGTATTTAGTGCAATAAGTTTAAAAAATCTGCTCTGAAATATTTACTTTACATTAACAAAAATAGCTTTTTTTAAAAAAATTGTAACAAAAAGGAGTTATCGCATAAACAGATCATGAATTATTCTTAGCAAATTACACTTTTTTTTCTTAAAGCATTCACCATTACAATAAGCAGAACAATGGAATATTAGCCATTCATATCTGGTAAGCTTCAGGAATTAAAAAACCCCCCCCAAACCCAAAACCCATCCCCAAACACAAAGAACGTTCAACACTTGAGGATCAAAACGTTAACCAATTCTTCAGTTAAACATTGTAGAATTCTGGATACTCAATGAATTGCCAAGAAGAGGAGCACCTGCCAGTATGTTTTTAAGATTTTACAGCAAGCATTTGAATAAAACGGCCGTTTAGCTCTAAGCCACTAGGGTTCCTCTGAAGCAGAATCCCAAGCACTGGAATTTTCAACGCTTTGTGTTCTCCCTTTTTTATTCCTCCCAGCATTATTTACTCTGCAAACCGATACACAGAAACTTAAAGGCTAAACTTGCTGGGTGCCCCAGCTTCCTTTCAAATCAGGCACACGAATGTGTGGAGGATGCTACTAACATCAAAAGAAAGAAAGACAAAATGTAAGAAAAAAGTTTGCATAAGAAAGATTATCTACCCTTTTCTTTTTTAACCTACTCTCTTTATAGAAGCATTAGGGTAAACTACAAATACCTGAGGAGTTGGTTACTTTTTAATGTTGGCTGACAAATGCATGAGCTATTATGAAAATGCCCAAATTGGGTCCACTTGTATGTTTCTAAAAGGAAAATGACATGGCTTCTTTGATTGGGGAAAACTGATTGGACTAAATCCTTATTAACCTGAAAGCATATGCCTAGTCTCGTCCCACTAGGACTTATGCATCAGTAAAATAAGGTCTTGATTTTATGCACACATCAGGGAAATCACCCCTGAATAAACTTTAGACAGAGGATTCAGTACAATAATTTTACCTAATTTAAATAACTAAAGTTAAAATCTCCTCTAAGTTATTAAAAATGTTAATCAGATATGAATCTTAACATTTCCATTAAGACAATTACAATTGAAAACATTAAATGATGGCAGTTGCCTTGTAAAAGCCACCCGTATGAAAGGAGTACATGTTAGACAAAAATAAGCATAAAAAAGGTATTAAATCCCTGTTCCTTTTCTCTGATTTTGGCTGATTATGTGTGTGTGTGTATATACGTATACATATATATACACACATACATATACATATATACACACACCCACACACACAAATACATAGTTATGTGTATATATTGTTTTGGAATGTCAATGGGTTCCATAACGATCAGCTAGGTTCAAGCAGAACTTGCTCCCGAAGCCTAGAAAACAAAGTCATACAGAGTATAATCTTAGACAGTTATCATTAAAAGGAGATCATGAATGATGTTACAAATACACAGATGGTCACAAACGGCAATAAAGCAAAATGGATTGAGAATCCCTCTTCCCTGAACCTAAATTCCAGGGGCTGAAATTCCTGTCGAAATTCACATTTCCCTCTGGGTCATCTTTAACATAGGCAGAGAATTCATCTCTAGTTTACATTGCTCTAGTGCCCAGGTTTTTTCCTCCATTTTCTCTGTAAGTTTCTCCTGTATGACAAAAAGCAAAAGGCCAGAATATCTTTTTCTTAAACCTCTATGTCATATTTGGTAAATTTTTCTAAAATAATTTTCAAAGATGTATAGAAAGACCTTACTAACCTTCAAAGTTTCCTCAACTAGTGAGGCTCTCTCTCAAATAAAAAAGTCTTAAGAGGAAAATTGGAAGTACTTATATTTAGTTCAGTGATTCCCTGTCAAAAGTAAATATTCAAATCTTAGACTTCTGCACATTATTTTATAGGAAAAAAACCTCCTATATTAAACTATTGCATTAAAGAGAAACACAGTGAACTCAAACAGCCAGTGTTTCTATAGATGACGGTCTGTTAACAGAACTTTCATCTAAGGGAACATGTGAATTAAACCAAGCAAATACAAACAAGCAATCCTAAATTCAACCAAGTCCCAAACCATAGGAGGGAATTTCTCAGATAATTCTTTAGGGACACACACAAGATGCTGGTGGTAGTTGAGGTCAACTCTTATCATGCATACTACAAAAGATGAGAAGTAGAGGTACTGATGAGATTTAAAAGTTAAAAGATTTAACTATGCTGTGAACAACAATTCACACTTCTCTCACAGGGACTTTCTGAACCACTTAAAATATAATTCTTACAGATCAAATGCTACAGTGTACAAAGCACCAGAAAAACAATGCACATAAAAGATGTATTTGGATACACAGCAGAGGGCTTTGTCATTAATCTGCAAGCAGTGAACCAATGAACAACACAAAATAAAGGCAGAATGAAGAATTTAATGCAGTTTATGAATTAAGGGAAATTAATTCAAAACTGAAAGTAATATTAGGGGGAAGAAACCCTTTCTATATTTTTGGCTTCTAGTAGAATGCCACATAATGCAGGCAATTCTCCTAGTACTAATACCTATGAATGAGGGGTCTAGGTAAGAGCAAATATATTTGCATTCTGGTATGCCACAAGTCAGTTATCTTTCCCCCAAGAATAATACAGAGATACCTGCCAACTCATGGTCAGAGTAGCTAGTACTAAACTTCTAATTATTTCTCCCTTTCTTTAAATGCTTATCACTGAAGAATGATTTAATGTAAGCTTCAACCACTAAAAAGAGAGAAAAGAGGGGAGAGTAGTTTACATTTTAAGATTGTATATGTCTTTTAAAAGTTTTAGGTTTGAAACCTTATTTTATGAACAATTAGGACGGTGGCAAGGAGGAAGCTTTCCTCATTTTTCCAGACCACCTTGGAGTTGGCAGAATTTTCACTTCAACCCCCTCAGGCTACATGAAGTTAAGGGGATGCAGAAAGAAAAGGTAGGAAGGTGAGGATCCTAATAGGAGAAACTGGTGATTAGTGCCCCTTCCCTGTTCGTCTAGTTCTGGCTGATGCACAGTTAAAACTAAGAGTTTATATGGCCATTCTAGATCTTTTTATTTATGATTAGAGCGACCTGTGCCTTGGGACTATAAGTGTTGAAGTTTTGATTTTATCATCATCAGTGCTATTTAAAGCAACACTGAAACAGATGGGGTTATAGAGAAGAGTTCATGTCTAAAGATTCTGTTGAGGTTTTAATAAAGGTTGAATATGCAATTATTTTCTATAAACATGTACCTCTGCCATGAACCCATCTCCTCTACTCCTACATACTTAAATGGACTTTTTAAAAAACTATCTATTTTTCAAATTAGAGACTTATAACTCAAACCATTTATTAAAGTATAAAGAAGAAAGACAAAAGAATCCTTACCTTACCTTTCTTGGGACATTATATGCAATTAGAAGGCATGTTATTTTAAATTAACTGTTTTAAGGATGTAGACAATTATATAACATTTTGAAATAAACATGCTATTTAAGAAGAATACATTTGTAATACAAGCAGTAATTAGAACAATATAGTTAAAGACATCTGTCATTATGCAGTGGTAAGAGTATGTGTGGGAAAAGCTACTCAGGATTCTCTTCCACTGGTTAACTTTAAGTTGCTTTTTTCAAATGAAAAGAGAGTGGTTATATATATCACTGACCAGAGATGATTTATCTTTCTCACAATTAAGCTGAGGCTGGAGAAGACCAGATTGTCTTACTGAGTGGGAATGTGGGTATGGATGGAAATAGCCTTGTTTGCTACTGAAAAATCGCTTAAAAAACAAAGAAAGTACAGTCCAGGCAACAGAAGAAAAAGTCAGCAAGGGGGAGAAGACAGCAACATAAACAAACCAATATTAAAAAGGGGAGAAATATGAATTTCAGCAAGTTGAAAGGAATTGCTATCATCACTTCTAAAATGATAAGTATTAAACTGTCAGCTCAAGTGCACAACCAAATGTTCAGTCCCATGAAAACTAAACTCTGATAGCTAAACACACAAAAAAATGGAAACTGCCAAGTTCACCTCAGGGACAAAGAGATCCCCTACCCCCGCCATGAACACTGTTCCTTTCAGCTTACTTTTACAGAAGGCGGTCTCAGCTGTGACAAGAATTCCGCCATCCAAGTGATGGGTAAACACACAAACAGAAAGAGCAGCATGTCCTGCGTGATACAGATCACAACAGCTTCTCCTGAACAAGTGCAGTCAGTGAAGAGAGAGACAGAGAGGAAGAGAAAGTGAAACTCCTGGAGGGCAGCTGCCTCCTCATCACCACCTACCATCGGTTTTAGCTCTCTGGCATCAGCAACACCTCCCTTACCAGCTTCCTTCATTGCTTTCCTACTGTTTTCCACAAACTCCTGAAAAACAGGGACCAGATTACATAAATTCTTAGGTCTTTTCAGACTTTAGATGGTAGATGATTTTAAAGAATATTGACATGTTTGACTCAGTAATGGTAAATGGATGGCCTAGAAAAAACCAGCAATAAATAATGTTTGGTACCATACACAAGAATGGCTCAGTTTGAGGCTATGGACTGCAAGCTGTTGATATAAAACCTTTTTGCCCACCATTCCTCGTGACAATCTTACTTAGACTCAGAGATGTTTAGTTATCTGGAAGAGAAAATAACTCTTGTTTTTTAGAAAAGACTATTTTCTCACCCTTAGAATATTATTTGTTATTTTACCTTTTTCCATATCAAGGCTAAATAAATGAAACAAGAACATTTTATTCCATTAAGCCCCCTCTTTAAAATAACCCTAGGAGGTAAAAGAAAGCATTCACACTACTTAGTATACTATACTATTTTTACCAAGGCATAAATAAGCTACTTTAAAAAATTGTCTATATGGCCTTGAAATTATTCCATAAAGCAGGAAGACAGGGAGTAATAACCAGAAACAGCTGGTCAGAAGCAGTTAAAATGGGATTATGCCCCAAAGGAAACATTTCTATCCTGTCAAAGTTTATGGAGCACTTCCTCCTTCAATATCCTCATCATTCTTACAGACAAGACTAAAATGAGAAAAACTATATTTTTCACTCTGCTTTTCATCAGTGGCTTAAAGAACAAAACAAATCCCTCCTTCTAAATGCCTTAATCACAAGAGATGCATTGCTCTTAAGTCAAGTTCAATGATGAGAATAATCAGGATTATAATTGAGATTATGAAAATGTCCAAAATGTAGCTGGTGATGTTCTTAATAACAGAGATAATGAGTACCAAATAGGTCAGTTGAATCATTTGGAATTTCTGAGATTGAAAAAAAAATCTATATTATTTATTAATAAATTTATTTTAGATTTAACTGGATAAACCATATTACTGGAAGATGTTTTGCTATCTCAGTGTCTAATGTTTAAACTTCAATACTATTCATTCTTGAGATAGGACTATTTCACAGATTAATAGCAAAGTATTATTAAAAAGCATCTTTAATTTGGTAGCATTTAACATAGATCCTAGTATTTAAATCATTTTAACATGGTTTCCAAATTTTTTAAAACATTTAATTGAGGTTCTAATATAGGGAAGCTGTAGAGGCTATGTAACTACAAAGAATATGTTATCTTTGTAAAGGTTTGGACCTTGACTAATGGAAAACAATACAATCTACCAGTCATGGGTCTGATAATCTGTATTCATTACAAAACATCTTCAATTTGGCTTGGCATACCTAGGATAATGAGTTTTAACAGGCTGACAGCAATAATATTTAGAAAAGTGGTGGATGGAGAAATACAGGTAGGCACTACAACCCAGGAAATAAAACTTGTCATCTTTGGATCCTGATTCAGAAAAGGCACTTAGAACGTGAGTGGTCCAACACTGCAGTTTCAAGGGCTAAAAATGCCTATTCAAGTTCATCTAACGGCAGAGACGAGGAGAGCAGTAGGGAACCATGTGAACTCAGGACTCTCAGTGGGATACTGATCTAGCTAGGTGGATTCAAATGGTCTCATTCATGCCAAATGGGTCTTCTTCCCTGACTTCCCCAAGACTAGCCTCATTCATGAGTGCTACAGATTAATTCTGAATCACTCAGTTGCATATACTGGGAATTAAACACAGAGAATGTTCTACAACATTTATATCAGTATTTTTGATCCTTAAAGCAGTAGAGGGCATTTGATGTACTTACCATCAGTACTTTGTCCATATAAAATTCTCTGCCTGGGCTCCCATCATTGTATTTTGTATCAACGGCAAAACACAAGAATAAAACATCCACTACCATTTCATAAATGGACAGGAAGCAATGGGCGACCAGGAAAGCAAAGAGGCAGACGATGATCAGAGGCAGCACCCACACTGTGTAATCTTGTTGGTAGTTGAGCAGCATAACCCCAGCCAGACCCGTGCTGCAGACGATCAGCACCTGAAACGGGGAAAACAGAGACCATACTTAATAACCTCCTGCAGAAAACCTCTATTTCTTCATCATCTGCAGACTTACAATCCTCTTTACTATTCAGAAATGATGGCTGTATGAATTCATGCCACCTCAATTTACAAAGTGTAATCCATAGATACGCATGTACATGTGTATCAAGTAACATAAAACATCATCCATGTTGACAATAAAAATAATCAAGTTTTCCAAATGGTATGCTTGTTCCCTAAGACTTCACTTTTTTAGCACCTGTGGCAATCTGTAAGAGAAATGTATACCTATCTTGGAAAAAAAAATTATACACACTCTTAGCATGCAGAAGAAAACTACTGACATTGCAGGGTATTGCTGTGTATTTTTTTCTAAGCAGTTTTACATATATGAAATGGTATTATATAAACAAATCATTAAAAGCTCTTCATTAATATTTATATATAATACATGCTTCTTAAGTACATATTCAGCTATACTATTTTCATTCTGTGGGTGGTTTAAAATTTATTTAACCATTCTCCTACATTTGGAGACATTGTTTTCAGATATAAATAATGCTGCAACCAACATCTCTGAGAGCTTTCTCTTTGTCTCATATTTTATTTCCCATGGAACATGTGGTATATTTAAGACAATTTGCTATGAAGTGTTGATTTGGACTATTTGTGAAGAAAGAGGTTGCCAAACACATTTATGCTGTAAAAATAAAAAGAAATAGCCATTTGCTCACTGTCAAGAACCACCTACTCTGATGCTTCATCACCACACATGCAGCACTTTAAATTTTCTGTGGTCTGTTTAATATATTTTATTTCAGTTTTTCAATAACCCTATGAATGGCTTATAGCGAACATTATCACCCTTGTATTACAGATTGGGAAACATTCGTAGAGAGCCTAGCTGACCTGCCCAAGGCCACAGAGTAGAATAAAGAGCAGATACCACTCAAAAAATAGTCTTGTCATGACAACACCATTGCTCTTTCCAGGTGAACATTCAGCAAATACTTGGATACTGATACATCACAGTAATAGGTACACTGAATCCTAGCGGCACTCCTGCCCAGCACTTTACCTGGCCTAACATCAGGCTGTAAATAACAAAGAAAAAGAAAGAGGCCTCAAGAACCGCAGCAGCCTTTCCTTGCCCAGGGTTGAAGCCAAGAGACTGGGAATTCTTTTGTCTTTCCCCTACTGTCTGTCAACACCAAAGCATTTCTCAGTCACCATTATCTTAACCAGGAATTATAATACATCAGAGGATATACTGGTTAAGCAACAAATTGTTCCCTTTCTCAGATGATTTTGTGGCAATACATTTATGAATCTTCTCTCATGATGAGTTATTTCTGGGGTAATGTCCACAAACAGCTAATTAGGCCTGTTTTCTTTCACTCTTCTGGTTTCAGTTTTTTTTTGGTTTCAATTTTAGAGTGAGTTATTTCTTACCCTCTTCTTCAACGTTTTTACATCTACCTGATGGGAGAACTGAGCTGCTTTATGCTCTCTCTATGCCACTAAAAGTTAAACCACATTTCAATGTTAAAGTCAATAACAGGCAGAAGATGTGGCTCAGACAAAGCGGATGTTGAGACAAAAGCTGTTAAGGTAGAATACTGTCACATGAGAAACAACTATGAAAATCAGTGGTATTTAGCTTAAAAAGTCAAATAAATGTAATAACTACTCCCTAGTATAATGAAAGGACATCATGCATCCATTCAAGCAGAGGATACATTAGTGGTTATCAAATTATCAGATGGGCTAGGAATCACTTGGGGAGTTTGTGAATAAAATGCAGATTCTCAAGCCTTGCCCCCAGAGAGTCTTATTGGTTGGATTTAAGATGAAGTCAGCAATATTCATTTTATAAGTACCCCCAGTGAGTCTTAAAAGTCCACAGCCTACAAGTAGTATGGCTCTATATACCTGGTGGGTGTCCTCCATGGTGAGTACGCATAGCCAAGGGAGTGTTCAAGAGAATCACTTGGGACTTCTATATATATTTCTCATATGCTAAAAATTTATTTTTTATTAAAAGCTATACATATATCATAAATAAATAAATATGTTGGGGAAGTGTGCTCAAAATTTTTAATAGGATATGTAATTTTAAAAGTTTAGACAATCTTATAATAAAAGATAAGTTCTCGGCAAATCAGGGTAGAATGTGAGAAGCAGGAAGAAAGGATACTAGTTTTGGAGTCAGAAAGATGTGAGATTGAATCTGAGTTAGTACTTTTTAGTTTTGTAACTAAGAAAGTTCATTTAACCTTTCTGAACCTATTTATCCATCTTTAAAAGAGATACAATATGACATACACCCCGTAATTGTTAAAATAAGCATTCTTGAAGGCATTTTACACAGTGACTGGCAATCTTAGTTTCTTCCTTTTTTTGGTCATCAATCTTGGATTTATGATGCCTTTTCTCCCATGAAACCCATGTTTTGAAAGATTTTGTTTACCAATAAAATAGAATCTATAAATAATAATTTAATTTTCATTTTTTAATTGAATGAACCCAGATTAAACTGTCAACTAGGACATATAAGTAGTGTCACAAAAAGTATTATCAAATAGACATAAAATAATTTCATACTGAAGCAAAGAAATTTAAGATTTGAGGGATTTTTGGGGTATAGTTTTCTTGGTATAAATATGCAATATCTATTTGACTTTAAAATGTTGAAATATAGCTTCTACATCTTTATTCTTAACCTTTGAGGACCCTATAGGCCAGCAATCATAGGTCATAAGCCACTAAACTAGAGGAGCTAGGGTCTCGTCTAAATCTAATTTTCCATTCCATAAAACCATTGGAGCTTCATAGAAACAAAATCCATGACACTATTTTTTGTTTTCTTTCTAAAATCAAGGTTCTGAAAATTAAATTTTAAATTTTGAAATAATTATGGATTAATTTGAAATAGTAGAAAAGTAACACAGAACGAACCCCATGTACCCTTTACCCAGTTCCCTTCAATGATAACACTTTGCAAAATTATACTGACAGTAGTGAATACAAAGTCACAACCTAGATATTGACACCGGTACAGTAAAGATAGCGAACATACCCATCATCACAAGCCTCCTTCATTTTAACTTTTTATAGCTATCCTTACTTCCCTTCACCCCATCACTAACTGGGCAACCACATATATAGTCTCCATTTTTATAATGTCATTTTAAGAAAGTTGTCTAAATGGAATCATACAAGACTTAATCTTCTGGGATTGGCATTTTTTACCTAGCATAATTCCCTCAAGATTCATCCAAGTTGTTGAATGCACTAATAATTTGTTCCTAACACTTTTATGTTTACTATGATCTATCTAGTTGAACTATCTGACCAAAAACTATTTCTGCATACTAGTAGTTATTAATTTCATTCATTTCAGTTAATTTCATTAACTGTAACAAAAGAAACTCTTTAAAAGATTTATTGTATTTTTTGATCAGAAGTATATTTTTGAAAAAGGAAAACAACCAAAAAAAGAAAAAGGAAAACAAGAAATTCATTTTAGTATGTTAGAAACCGAAAAGTTTTTTTTTTTTCCCTCTTATCTTTTTCCTTTTTTTGATTTGTCAGTTTAAAAACTGCTTATGTTTCATGGTTTTAGGTCTCTTTGTAAATAATGTTAGATATATTATTCAAAATTATACTTTGCTGGAAAGCAACTTGGAAATACATATCAAAAATCCTATTATGTACTTGAACTCATTAATTCTACTTCTACAATTCTGGCCTTAGGGCATAAGTATTACTGTGGGCAAGAATTGGTATACAAAAGTTTCACTATAGTACACTTTATAATAGTAAAAAATATGAGGAAAGTTCAATAGTAAACAAAACAAAGGCTTTATTAAATAAATGATACAACTGTATAATCACATTTAAGACATTTTTAATAGAATGAGAAATGCTCATAATAGGAAGTGAAAAAAGGGATACAAAACTGTCTTTTCTACCAGATTTTAAATTTGCTTTATTGACTAGTATTATAACCAGCATCCAGAAAAGCCCCTGGTACATTACTAGTAGGTACTCTATAAACACTTCTTTAATGACTAAAAGGTTATGAGAAACGTAAGGAAGAAACCTAAGAAAAAAAGCCTGTCTTCTTCTTGGAAGACAGGCTTCTGAAAAACTCAAAGCCAATTTTAAAACACTGCATTTTATCATGTATATATTTTTCCATTATAAAAAATGCACAAAACTTTATCATGGTAAAGTGGGAGGAGGGGTTTGGAATCATTCATATTTTCAATACCTGAAAGCAATCATTATTAACATTTTGAGATACTAATTTTCATTTTTTTCTTATGCACATTTTTAAACAGTTCTGTGATAGTCTAGTAGTTTTACTCAGCTTTCCACTTACCATATTATACACAATCATATTATAAACTCTTAATTAAAAACATAATTTAGGGAATTCCCTGATGGTCCAGTGGCTAAAACCACAGTGCTTTCACTGTGGAGGGTGCAGGTTCAATCCCCGGCCAGAGAACTAAGATCTTAAAGATTGCATGGCATGGCCAAAAAAATGAAAAACAAAAAAAAGGTTTAATAGGCAAATAGTCTGCAGATTATTACTTTCAACTTTTATTGTTAGGCAGCAGACTGCTTACATTTAGTCACTATTATAAATAATGCTGTATTTAGAATTATCTCTAGTAGTTTGGAGAAGGCAATGGCACCCCACTCCAGGACTTTTGCCTGGAAAATCCCATGGACGGAGGAGCCTGGTAGGCTCCAGTCCATGGGGTCACTAAGAGTCAGACACGACTGAGCGACTTCACTTTCCCTTTTCACTTTCATGCATTGGAGAAGGAAATGGCAACCCACTCCAGTGTTCTTGCCTGGAGAATCCCAGGGTCGGGGAGCCTGGTGGGCTGCTGTCTTGGGTCGCACAGAGTCGGATACGACTGAAGTGACTTAGCAGTAGCTAGCAGTTTACCATCATCAGAATCACTGAATCAAAAAGCTTCAGGGAAAAAAAAAATTTTGTCAGTTAAGGCAATTATAGCTCACAGTGATTAAAAACTTTGAAGTCAGACAGATCTGAATCTGAACTCCAGCTCTGCCACATTTGAGTTTTCTAAATTTGGACAACCTACTTAGCTCTCTAAACTTTGGTTTCCTTTGCTGTGAAATGAAGATAATAGGAGCTCTCCTTATTGGGTGGAGGGTGGGGGGGACCAAATGTAACACTTCACATAAAGCACTGCCCTCAGTATCTGGTACCCAGTAAGTGTCAAAAACTTCTTAATTGCTCTGTATATTTATGTTTTTAAGTTGCTTTTTAGGTACTAGGGGTCAATTATAAGTATGTAAAAAATAAACCAAAAATCTGGGGTCTCCCTGAGTTATTCATATAGCACATAAATAATAGTAATGGTTAGTAAAAGGGTCAGACCTGTATTTAGTCCTTAATAAGAATTAACTCATTTCATTCTTACTATAATAAATTTCTTATTGTAAAAACATGATAAAAATCCAGGAATCATAATATACGTTTAATTAAAAATTTTTAAAATAACTATCTGTACAGTTATATAAGTCTTCTTCGATGACTGTTGCCTGAGAACTTAAAACTATGCAGTGCTATGGGATGAGGGTTAGGGGTGGGAGTGAGGCTCCAGAGGGAGGGGATATGTGTATACCTATAGCTGATTCACACTGTTTTATAGCAGACCAATACAGCATTGTAAAACAATTATAGTCCAATTAAAAAACCTACATAGTGCTAATCAATCCCCTTTTCCTTTGCAAAGGAAATATGATTTGCTTTTCCTTTTAAAAGCACAGTGGCTAGAGTAAAAAGTGCTCAATAGTAAGAGAATAGCATTTGACGGAACAGTGGCCATTATGATAATGATGAAATTATTAAGGTTATCAAAGCAATGTGAAAAAATACATAATAGAATATGAAGTGAAAAGAGCAGAACAAACAGGTATGTATAGTAGGACTGTTACACTATAGAAATAGAAGCCTATGAAAAATAAATATAAAATATAAAAAAGAAATATAAGCCTATGTATATTTCTATACATAGAAATATAAGCCTATGAAAAACATGGGAGGTAATATAAAAATAAGTTATCAGGTTATCATAGTAGTATCTCAAATTTTCTGAGTATTTTACGGTTTGAAATATAGATACAATGAACCCCAATTATAATGTTATCTAATATTTTGCAGATTTTAATAGCATAGAATAAAAAGATACTTGAGGACAGTTAACTCTCATTCCCTAACAGTTCTATTTTAAGGGATTTATATATAGTTAACGTTGACCGTTAATATTCATCAAGGACCTACAATGTCTCAGGCACTATCTTAGGTACTCTAGACATATTAATTAGCCTAATCCTCACAACTCTAGGGGTTTGGCACTATTGTGACACCAGTTGCACAGATGGACAAACAGAGGCACAGAGTGGCTATGGACCCTGCCTTAGGTCACACAGCTAGTGAGACCAGGATTTTCATCCAGGCAGCCAAGTTTCAGATGCAATGGTCCTAACCACCACATGGACTGTTTCTTATTTCAAAATATGTCAGGATAATCATGGGCAAATTACTTAACTGTGCTTGTCTCTGATTCCTCGTCTGTATCATGAAGTTAATAAATAATAATAGAACTTCCATTACAAATTTGTTAACGAAGACTAAATGAGCACAATACATGTAAAGTACTTAGAAAAATGCCTGATACATATTAAGGGCTCTGTAAGTGCTTGCTTTATATTATGTGACTTTTAGGTTTTTGGTGGGCTACATATGTGTTTTAAATTGAAGAGCAACTATTGCATATGTGAAAATTCACTGTATGTCTCAGATAATATACTTGGTTTTATTACCTTGCCTAGGAATAACATGAAATCCCCCACCGTGTTGATGGCAGCTACTCGCAAAGCATTCTCCACGAGAATGACAAAGGCATCCTTTGCTGAGGTGCAGAAATTGGTGCTGTTGATAGCTGTGGCTGTGTATGCATTCTGGACAAAAGCAAAAACAATTTTTTATCAGTAAATGTTATCTTTACAATTTAAACTAAGGATAGTTAAAGCATAGCTTGCAAAAATATTTCACAGTTAAACCCATGGCTTTGGTGAGGTACAGATTTAGATTAAGCACAAGGAAATATAACACATTAAAAAAAAAACAAAACCAATCTGATATGGTAAAGAGAACTCAGATGGCCTAGTTTCGGTCCTTTAAAAACACTGACATTTATTAAAACACACATAAACCTTTCCAACATCCATTACCTTCTTCCCCGTCTTAGTAAATCAAACCATAATTTAACCTTTCCTAGATACTTCGGGTTCATCACTAGGCATTTCAGTGATGCTTTAAAAGCTACACACACGTATAAAGGCACCAGATTGCTGTGCTGTTATATCGGGAACATCTATTTCCTCCTCCTTGGCACTTTCTTCTGTGCTGCCACTTCTCACAGTTCTTGCAGTAGACAGCTCTTTGTTGCTGATTTTATACCCCTCCCTCTGGGGCAGAACATCAAATCCCCTTTGAGGAAACAATGCTTTCTCATTCTCTTGGAGTCTGAGTGAGGTTGACACTACCTCCAGCTCTGGGGGTAAGCTCTGATGGATGTAAGTCAATCAACATGTTTTACCCACAGTGACTGCTTCAGGAATTGGTACATAAACGAATCGGAGTCAGTGAAAGTAAAAGATGTTCCCCTGCGCTTCTGGGAAAAAAAGAAGTTTTCTTTCTCTTCTGTAGGTGCTCCTGACAGAGGAGCTCTCTCATGTACCTGGATGCAAGGTGTGAGGATACAAATGAACACGCCTGTCTTGCCAACATAATGGAAGTCAGAGCAGAGAGAGAAACCAGGTACTTACACTTGGTGACAATGTTTACATGGTTAGGAACCAGCCAGATTCTGTACTTTTCAGTTACAGAAGCTAATAAATAGCTAAGACTCTCTCCCCTTCTTCCCACCCCGACCCCCTTCTCTATCTTGCTCTTTTGGGGGCTAGACTGGACTGGTTTTCTGTCTGCTGTAGTACTGAGTCCCCAGCTGACATATTTTATACAATTGTACCTGCTTCTGTCTCCCCATGTTTTCTTTGACTAATAGTTACTCTGATTTTTTTTTTCTTCTTTTTTCCATTACATTCTAGAATAGCACTGACACTTTCTGGAAAATGTGAATAAGTAACATAACATGAAATGTGTTTGAGTCTTAAGAAGGGAAAGTATATGGACTTTGTAATGAAAACTTACAGTCCTGAGCAATTTTTGGTTTAGTGCTGACTTAAGAAATTGTTCCAAAATAAGAAGTTGCAGGAAAAATGCAGAACACAAAGGCATACATTATATTGGGTTGTCTGTAAAGTTTTAAACACTGAGATCAGAAGAGTCTTTAATTTATGAGTGTTCCAATTGTACGCTTGTTAGTTATTACGAACTGGGTATGAAGATGAGGTTGGAGTCATCAAAAATTTAATTTGTCATTATATGATTAATTTCATTGGTTAAAAATGCAGAACTTTTCAGGGCCAAAGAGAAAGTACTGTACTGAGTAGGTCACTATTTGTGGTTCATAAACTTTATTCAGTATTGGAACAGCAGGAAATAACAGTGCTCTTTGAGAAACACAGTATGATCTTAATATAGGAAATGTCTTCATACAAATTGGCATAACTTGTATGTAGTAGCCCTCAGTGAACAATAGAGTCCAAAATGCAGTACCTGGGTGCAATCTCAAAAACGACAGAATGAACTTGGTTCACTTCCAAGGAAAACCATTCAATATCACAGTAATCCAAGTCTGTGCCCCAATCACTAATGCCAAAGAAGACAAAGTTGAATGGTTCTATGAAGACCTACAAGGTCTTCTAGAACTAACATCAAACAAAGATGTCCTTTTCATCACAGCGGACTGGAATGCAAAAGTAGAAGTCAAGATATACCTGAAGTAATCGGCAAGTTTGGCCTCGGAGTACAAAATGAAGCAGAACAAAGTCTAACAGAGTTTTGCCAAGTGAGCACACTGGTCATAGCAAACACCCTCTTCCAACAACACATGAGATAACATGGACATCACCAGTTGGACAATACTGAAATCAGATGGATTCTATTCTCTGCAGATGAAGATGAAGCTCTATACAGTCAGCAAAAACAAGACTGGGAGCATGACTCAGATCATGAACTCCTTATTGCAAAATTCAGACTTAAATTGAAGAAAGTAGGGAAAACCACCAGGCCATTCAGGTATGATCTAAATCAAATCTGTTATGACTACACAGTGGAAGTGACAAATAGATTAAAAGGATTAGATCTGATGCAGAGAGTACCTGAAGAACTATGGACAGAGGTTTATAATACTGTTCAGGAGGTGATCAAAACCATCCCCAAAGAAAAAATGCAAGAAGGCAAAGTCGTTGACTGAGGAAGCCTTACAAATAGCTGAGAAAAGAAGAGAAGCAAAGGGCAAAGGAGAAAAGGAAAGATATACCCATCTGAATGCAGAGTTCCAAAGAACAGCAAGGAGAAATAAGAAAGCCTACCTCAGTGATCAGTGCAAAGAAATAGAGAAAAACAATAGGATGGGAAAGACTAGAGATCTCTTCAAGAAAACTAGAGATACCAAGGGAACTTCTCATGCAAAGATGGGCACAATAAAGGACAGAAATGGTATGGACCTAATAGAAGCAGAAGATATTAAGAAGAGGTGGCAAGAATACACAGAAGAACTATACAAAAAAAAAGATCTTAATGGCTCAGATAACCACAATGGTGTGATCATTCATCTAGAACCAGACATTTTGGAGTGCAAAGTCAAGTGGGCCTTAGGAAGCATCACCACAAACAAAGCTGGTGGAGGTGATGGAATTCCAGCTGAGCTATTTCAAATCCTCAAAGACGATGCTGTTAAGTGCTGCACTCAATATGTCAACAAATTTGGAAATCTCCACAGCAGCCACAGGACTGGAAAAGGTCAGTTTTCATCCCAATCCCAAAGAAAGGCAATGCCAAAGAATGTTCAAAGTACCGCACAACCGCACTCATTTCACATGCTAGCAAAGTAATGCTGAAAATATTCCCAGCTAGGCTTCAACAGTATGTGAACTGAGACCTTCCAAATGTTCAAGCTAGATTTAGAAAAGGCAGAGGAACCAGAGATCAAATTGCCAACAACTGTTGGATCATAGAAAAAGGAAGAGAATTCCAGAAAAACATCTACTTCTGCTTCATTGACTAGGCTAAAGCCTTTGACTGTGTGCATCACAACAATCTATGGAAAATTCTTAAAGACATGGGAATACTAGACCATCTTACCTACTTCCTGAGAAACGTGTATGCAGGTCAAGAAGCAACAGTCAGAACCAGACACGGAACAATGGACTAGTTACAAATTGGGAAAAGAGTACATCAAGGCTGTATATTGTCACCCTGCTTATTTAATTTATATGCAGAGTACATCATGAGAAATGCTGGGTTGGAGGAAGCATAAGCTGGAATCAAGGCTGCTGGCAGAAATGGCAATAATTTCAGGCATGCAAATGACACCACCCTTTGGCAGAAAGTGAAGAGGAACTAAAGAGCCTCTGGGTGAAGGTGAAAGAGGAGAGTGAAAAGCTGGCTTAAAACTCAACATTCAAAAACTAAGATCATGGCATCCAGTGCCATCACTTCATGGCAAATAGATGGGGAAACAATGGCAAAAGTGACAGACTATTTTTTGGGGCTCCAAAATCACTGCAGATGGTGACTGTGGCCATGAAACTCAGACTCTTGCTCTTTGGAAGAAAAGCTATGACCAACCTAGACAGCACATTAAAAAGCGAGACATTACTTGGTCAACATAGGTCTCTCTAGTCAAAGTTATGGTTTTTCCAGTAGTCATTATGGATGTGAGAGTTGGACTATAAAGCAAGCTGAGCACCAAAGAATTGATGATTTTGAACTGTGGTGTTGGAGAAGACTCTTTAGAGTCCCTTGGACTGCAAGGAGATCCAACCAGCCCATCATAAAGGAAATCAACCCTGAATATTCATCGGAGGGACTGATGCTGAGGCTGAAACTCCAAACTTTGGCCACCTGATGTGAAGAGCCGACTTATTGGAGAAGACCCTGATGCTGGGGAAGATTGAAGGTAGGAAGAGAAGGGGACAACAGAGGTTGGATGGCATCACCGACTCGATGGACATGAGTTTGAGTAAGCTCTGGGAGTTGGTGATGGACAGGGAAGCCTGGTGTGCTGCAGTCTATGGGGTCGCAAAGAGTCGGACACAACTGAGCTACTGAACTGAACTAAAACCAGAAATGAGTATATGTGGTTTATGTTTCAAAAAGGCTGAGAAGGTGGGTTCTCTAGACTGTAAGTGAGGTTGGTGTTGATTCTTAATGTTCCTCTAGAGGAGGGGCAAAAAAATCTTTTGGTAAAAGACCAGATAGTGAATTTTTTTGGCTTTGTGGACCATATAGTCTCTGCCACAATTGCTGAGTTCTGCCATCATAACATAAAAACAGCCAAAACAGTTTGTAAATAAAACATAGCTGTGTTCCAATGAAACTTACGTACTGAAGTACATATTTAGCCCACAGGCAGCAGTTTGAAAACTCTGCCCTAAAATAAATTATTAATGGGGCTTGTTTGGTTGTTTTTATTTGTTTTGTTTTGGGTTTGTTTTTCGTTGTTGTTATTCATTTTTTAGGTGAGTAAGGAACTGGTGAGAACTGGGAACTACTCTGGGTTCCTTGAGAATAGATCAAGATTGGAAAGTTCTGTATCATTTTTTAGCCGAGTTACTGTTACATAAGTTCAAAAGTACAGTTAGTTTATTTTGATGTCATGAGGCTATTCGCAGAATGTTTCAAAAGAAGTTATATAGAAGATTAGGAAATGTGAACCACTGCAGTTAGGTAGTTAACTCTTTGGTGCCTGCTGTCTTTTAACTGATAGGAAGCACTGGCCAATGACAGCATAAAGTTGGCAAGCAGCAGATGAGTGCTACCTGGACAA